TGGGAACCTTTCCTATTGGCAGGTAACACTTCACTGTGGATTAGTATTATTTTGCTATCAGTTTTTCTAGATTCAATAAAAAAACTCAGTACTTAAGTTTGATTTAAAAAAATAAAGGCATATGTTTCTTTGGTTTTCACGCACACCACTCATTAAATAAAACCAGTTTCAACGGTATAGACACACTGATTTATTTATTTATTGACGTTTCGCATCCTTATTAGAGTGCGTCGTCATGATTCAGACGAAGCATCGTGAAGAGGATGCGAAGCTTTCCCTCGTATCTAATATTGAAGTATTGGGAATATTGGAAGGCACTGTGTGTAACCTACGAGTAAATGGAGCATAAATCATAATTAAATTAGTTTTTAGTTGTATTTCCAAGTCCTTGGTAGAACTGCACAAACTAATTTGAAAAACTAGTTCCAAATTAAAAAAGTAATCTTGTGAGTAGGTATAAAATGATGTAAGTGCATCAATGTGAGTTCCTAAGAAACAGGGACGTAACTATCTTGGGTGTGGGCGCCGTATGCTAGCGCCCCGACCTAGATATCGCAGCGACCCAGTGGCGTAGCATGGGGGGGGCGGGGGGTGCGGTCCGCACCGGGCGGCACTTTGCCGGGGGCGGCGCTGCGGAGGTGGCAGATAGAGAAAAAAAAAATATAAAAAAAAGTTAATTTCTTTCAGTTTTTTTTCGTCATTTTTTTGTTGTTGTTACCAAATACCCAGGTACCTATGCAGGTTCTATGCATGGGTGATGCAAGCGCAAGGTTTCTCAATAACTATTATTTAGTAATTATTGTATTACGTTTTCTCTGTAATTTTTCTAAGTGATATTGTGATAGTCTACCTTCTACTCTATGTCAAAAAATGTTAATTTCACTCTTAGGTTAGTGTTATTCAATAAAAGTACTCTTTTTACCATGCCTCAATTTTTTTATAATGGATTGCAAAAATAAGAGGGCGGCAAATTTGGAATCCGCACCGGGTGCTAGTGACCTATGCTACGCCACTGCAGCGACCTGAATCTGGATGTTATTCCAACGGGGCCTGGGCTCTGAAATGCGATAAAGAAAACTAAGAATTTCGAATCGGTAACCCGATCATGACATCCTGTCCTAGGGTGGGCACAAGGGATATTTCTAGGGTAGGCTTGGCCCACTTTCGCAAATGGAACCCGATATTTACCAAAACATTTTTCAAGTAACTAGGTACTTAACTACTTATCCAAATAATTAGGAAGGTATTTACACATACATTTTTCTTATCGCCCTGTTATGTTATGTCATCATTAGTTGTAGTAAAAAGAATTTTAAACAAAAAATAAAACCGACTTCAAAATCGAAAATGGAACTGAATAGTAAAAAATAATATCTGGTTCATGATTTGGACGTCGGGCGAGTCAAGATTGAAAGACTTATTACCGATCAGAAACGAAAATCTATTTAATGTTTCAATCTTGACCCCGCCCGACTTCAAAATAGGAAAGATGCATATATAATATTTATGAAAATTTTATGATTAAAATGTTAAAAAAATATAAAAGAAATGCCACTGCAACGTTTTTATTTTACATAATGCTGTTTTTTAACAATTATTACGAATTAAAAATACTTGAAACGGAACGTATTTTAAAACACCAATCAGCGTTTAGTGACGTCACTCCTGTTATGACAACTTCTTTGAGGTTATGGTTGTTAAAGTAAATATTATTTTATGGGAATATTTATTGCGTTTTTTTACATTTAATAAAAATGGAAGTTGCGTTTATCAAAGCAGACTCCAGGAATTTACCAAGAGTTAGCGTTGACATGGTTATAACTTTTTTTGTCCAAAGTGCAGAGTTTTTAAGTGTAGAAATGAAAGGGACTATATTACTACGGTATGTAAAAATCTTAGTTGTGAAACTTCGTATTTTATTCAGCGGCTTCTACAAATCTTACGGCGATAATGCAATCGGGTATGTCCAAATTAAAAGAGATGGAAAATTATGTACAGTAAAAGGTCGAGTTCTCCGGAGCATAAACTATGTAAAGAAGGTTATCGTGTTACAGTTATTTTAAATGAAACGCAAAGCTTGGTTCAGTCCTGCCAATGTGAAGATTGTGCCACACATTTTAAACTTTATCTAATTTACGACGTCATTCTCCAACTGTAAAATTAAAAATATGTTATAGACAGGTTTTGTAAGTATTAGGTAGGTTACTAATGCGTTTTTACGTACAAGCAGATTAATTAAGCATATAACAAGTATATTCGCCAACTTACGTCAAATGAACTTCTCAGCATCGAATAATGGTCTTTGGAGAATAATATGTCATTTCTCTTCGCAGCTTGAAACCACTTTTTTTTCAGTTTTGGGTCAGAAGTTCCAGTCAAAAACAATTTATTTGGGAACTTTGTTGAAGTAGATTGGCACAAAACATGAGTCAACACGGCTTTTTTTCGGAATATTAGTGGTATTATTATGATCACATGATGTTGATGGATAGACCATTTTAAATTTTTCAAAAAAATATTTCGAAATTCGAACAAATATGCAATAGTATGAAAATTTAAAGCCAGCAACGAACAATTACGACCAGTGACAGACAGGAGTGACGTCATCGCAACCATAGGTTCGTTTTCGCGCGAAAATTTAAATATTCAATTTAAAACCGCATTTTTTCCGATAAATCACAATGTTTTAATTTTTTAATATATCTGTGGTTTATTCTACATGGAATTCTTTAAAATGAAAACAAAAATAAAAATATTGCATCTTCGTGAACCAAATATTATTTTTTACTCTTTAGTTCCATTTTCGATTTTGAAGTCGGTTTTATTTTTTGTTTAAACTTTTTATTTCATCCATTTTAGTGAAAATTACATCGTCATCGTCAACATGCATAAAAAAACATCGTGCGTGCTTTTGAAATAAGAAGGTTTCCTTCGATTTTCCCGGATTCCACCATCAGATCCTGACTTGGTTCCAATGGGACCACCTCGGAAGTGCACTATTACGAATAAAAAAGATTTTTAAAAATCGGTCCATAATTGACGGAGAAATCGGTGAACATACATAAAAAAATATACAGTCGAACATAGAATTTGAAGTCGGTTAAAAACATGAATTGATGAGATACCAAAGGACCAACCTCGCCCGAAAAGTGCTCCCAAGGTTTAGTTGGGATAATGTATAAAATACTTTATCACAAATAATTGATTGCTTTACTTTACACGAATTAGAAACTAATAGGTGTACCATCGCCATTCGCCAACAACTCTTTTTAGTAACTATATAAAAAGTCTAACAGCATCCTAATTTATGCCCTAAAATTCAGTGTTGACCAAGCTAGTTGACCTCAAATTAAATGTTGACCAAGAAATACTTAAACATAGCAGTAAAATGTTAGGAAATATTGAGAAGAAATTGTAGCTGACGGCATAACTAGTCGGTTTAAATTGTAATAAACCGCCAGTAAAAACATGCGATGTTCGGGCCCTGCTGAGGCCTAAATACGGTCATGTCACTCACCCTATTTAAATATACGTCACCTGTAAGCAATCAGCCTGCATTGACCATGTAATTTTATTGTTTTATAGCCACTTGCTAAGGGTAGCTCTAGGGCGCCATATGGCTTCGACTCGGTGCTGTCACTGAGAAATGTTGATTACTACTTTACCTACACAATGAGCAGTTTAATTAACGATATACCTACTTACCTAAGTTAACACCCGTTTCCTTGTGGTAGTCCTACTGCGGCATAAACACACCAGATTTTCATAGATTCTTGAAACATTGAAATATTAACAATTGAACATATAAACTAGTCTATTTATATATTTTTATGATTAAGTCACATGTCATCGGTAAAATATGAATGAACATTACGAATATTGTTTTATTTTCCTTATTCTTACACACTAGTGTAAGATAAAACAACATAATGTAGTCATTATTCTATAAACTTTTTATTATAAAAAATTAACTAGGTCAAGGTTCCAGGCAGCTCTCGAACCTGCGTCTTCCACTGTCCGCATGTACTTACCGCTATACTACTGTTACCATTAGAGTATCTGCCCGGATTGCGCGGCTGTCCCAAATCAAAACACAGGAAAGGACGTTTTTGTGAAAATCACTTTTTTTACACCATTATTTTAACACAGTAAATGTGTAAATATGCTAAGACCCGTTTTTGAATAAAGGACTCCATTCCCTATATAGGTACCATAAAAAATAGTAAGTGTAGCAGTTTATTAATGTTAACTCAATATCTCTCGAATGTCAATCAGGCCAGTTATGCCCGATATTCGTAAAATCGTAGTGATATTATTATCATACGTACCAATTTTTGATGGATTTTTCTTAAAATTCAATTTACAGTTACTATGTGCTCTAAATGACAATAAAATTTTGGACTCTGCCGGATATTAACTAGCACCCTTCATACAAATAACCGTGTCCTTTGTTGGAAATCCCTTGCTGTGTTTTGATTTGGGACAGCCGCGGAAGACGCAGATTCGAGTCCTGCCTGAAACATTGCAGAGTTGAATTTTTCTAGCAAATATTTTCTTTGTTTCGTACATAGTCATATTTCGAACTTGACTTAAGGAAACATGAAAAATCTTTTAATAGTTTGCCCTACTAGTAGAACCACGAGGAATAGTGCTTCCTCGTGGTCCTCGTGATGAGCTGAATATGTTAAAATATCTAAATTCATATTTAAGACTAGTAGATAACCCCGATCTTTGTCCGTTCGCTAGATTGTTGGTTTTCTTCACTTACAAACTTTTATCAAGTTTTACTTTCGAAGCAAAATCTAATAAAATAATTAATATAAATAATGAAAATTGTTAAAAAGCGTAATAGACTTTTGCATTTGAGTCGTTTAGTTTCAAGGACGCCTATGTAACTACTAATGTTATTAAACACTTAATATAAGTATGGATGTGGAAAAATTTAAAGTGCCAAATCACATCAAGCTGACAGTGATGAATGGTATAAATCAAAACAAGATGTTTTAATAACAAAGCTTTATTTTTACATACAAAAATAACATTTATTTCATATAGGAATCACACAAACATATATAATTCTTATTATATTTGGCTGATAAGTACTTTAAAGATTTATAGGTTATTGCTCTCGTTGTATCACGTAATCTGCGTATATAACCAATATTGGAAAAAAGCTATTATTGTTATTATAAAAATAGTAAAAAAATATCTGAAAAAATTCATGTTGATATAATATTTTTATCTAAGCAAATGAACACATATTTATGTAATATAATATTTTGGCATAATGTTTGTAAGTTGTTATCAAGATTGCAAGTGGTCCAGAATCCAGTTGGCGCCGTTGATAAGGTTGTCCGTTTCGGCGGGAAGAGACGACAACGAATGATTGTCGTCGTACATGTATATTCTGAAACAAATTTTACTGTTTTAAACTTTCATGGTCACTGACATTATAGTTTTTTTTTGTGTGTGATGCTGTTGGTTCTAGATGACCTACAGCGTCACCGGGTTTGGGGACAGCGAGATCCTAAAGGGGACTTCAAACCGAGAATTGGCGAGTGTCTCTAGAGGTAATACAGGCGGATGGCATCTCCCCACGGGGGGTCTCCTCTCCTTCCGTTGGGGTGTCCTCTCCTTCAATCTCGAGCTCTGCCATCCTTCAGAAGATTTTTCATAAGGCACGTTAAGCCGTTGGTCCCGGCTGCATCTGCAGTCGTGAGCACCCACCAATCCGCACTGGGTCCGCGTGGTGGGTCATGGCCCAAACTCCCTATTCCATCCACAGGAAAGGCCTATACCCCAGCAGTGGGGACATTAATAGGCTGAAGATGATGATAAGGAACACCATTTGCTTTCACACTTCAGCATACTCCAAACCTTGGAACAGCGGCATTCTCTTATCCCCGCTGCCTAACATTAGACAAGTTGTGGCGCGAACATTGTACACGTGAGCTAATGGGGAACAACGCCTCATTGCTAAGAGCTAATCTTCTGATATGGCTACTGTCTCTGTGAAATCGAAGCCTGCTTCTACTGCACACCTGCCTTGTCGCTGCCAAGGAGAGAACAATACCTTACAACCTGGTTATAATGTTTGGTTGACGACTTCCGTTGCCGAGTGGTTTATACGCCGGCTTTCAAGGTGTCGCCGACTCGAGAGGTCCCGGGTTCGAATCCCGGTGGGGGCAGATATTTGTGTGATGAATATGAGCATTTGTTCTCCAGTCATGGATGTTTAATATGTATTTCTATATAAATATATATGTACAATATATGTATTCTATCCTAACGGATAGAATTGAATTGCTTGTGTTATGGGATTCTAGGGTAACCCCCTAGAATCCCATAACACAAGCCTTACAGTGCTTACTTTGGGGCTAGGCTAATTGGTGTGAGTGTTGGAAATATTTATTTATTTATTATGTATCTCACCTTGTAGGAACTCCATTAGCCTTCAGTCTTCTAGCATACTCCAATCCTTGGAATAATGGCACACGTTTATCGCCGCTACTTAGCATGAGACGTTGGACAACCTGTTGATGATTTAAGACACCAGACAACCTGATAATAATGTATCTCACCTGGTTGGAACTCCATTAAGTCTTCTAGCATACTCCAGCCCTGGAATAGCGGCACTTTTTTGTCTCCGCTGCCTAGATTGAGACACTAGACGACCTGATGATGATGTAGACACTAGTCCAACTGATAATAATGTATCTCACCTAGTAGGAACTCCATTTGCCTTAACACTTCAGCATACACCAAACCTTGGAACAGCGCACTCTCTTATCCCCACTGTCTAGCATGAGACATGTTGGGGCGCGAACATTGTGCACGTGAGCTAAAGGAGAACAGTAGTAGGCGCAAGTAGTTAGCGCGTTCGGGTGCGATCGATGATGTTAAGCAACTTTCACAGTGGTCGGTCATTGGATGGGTGACCAAAAATTTATTATCTCGAGCTCTTCCATCCTTTAGAAGAATTTTCATGAGGCACGTTAAGCCGTTGGTCCCGGCTACATATGCAGTCGTTAGCACCCACCAATCCGCACAGGGTCCGCATGGACCAAACTCTCTATTCCATCCATAGGGAAGGCCTATACCCCAGCAGTGGGGACATTAATAGGCTGATGATGATGATGAGGAACACCATTTGCCTTCACACTCCAGCATACTCCAAACCTTGGAACAGCGGCAATCTCTTATCACCACTACCTAGCATGAGACATGTCGGGGCGCGAACATTATGCACGTGAGCTAACGGGGAACAACGCCTCATTGCTAAGAGCTGACCCTCTGATACGGCTCCTTTCTCTGTGAATTCGAAGCCTGCTTCTGCTACACACCTGCCTTCTCGCTGCCAAGGAGAGAGAACAACACCTTACAACCTGATAATAAGAGTCTCACCTGGTAGGAACTCCATTAGCCTTCAGTCTTCTAGCATACTCTAATCCTTGAAATAATTGCACACGTTTATCGCCGCTACCTTGCGGGAGACGTTGAACAACCTGTTGATGATTTAAGACACCAGACAACCTGGTAACACCTGGTTGGAACTACATTGGCCTTTAGTCTTCCAGCATACTACACCCCTGGAATAGCGGCCTCGTTTGCCTCCGCTACCTAGATTGAGACACTAGACGACCTGATAATGATGTAGACACTAGTCCAACTGATAATTATGTTTCTCACCTAGTAGGAACTCCATTAGCCTTCAGTCTTCTAGCATACTCCAATCCTTGGAATAATGGCACACGTTTATCGCCGCTGCCTAACATTAGACACGTTGGAGCGCGTACATTGTGCACGTGAGCTAACGGGGAACAACGCCTCATTGCTAAGAGCTGATCTTCTGATACGGCTCCTTTCTCTGTGAATTCGAAGCCTGCTTCTACAGCACACCTGCCTTCTCAATGCCAAGGAGAGAGAACAACACCTTACAACCTGATAATAAGAGTCTCACCTAGTAAGAACTCCATTAGCCTTCAGTCTTCTAGCATACTCCAATCCTTGGAATAATGGCACACGTTTATCCCCGCTACCTAACATTAGACACGTTGGAGCGCGTACATTGTGCACGTGAGCTAACGGGGAACAACGCCTCATTGCTAAGAGCTGATCTTCTGATACGGCTCCTTTCTCTGTGAATTCAAAGCCTGCTTCTACTGCACACCTGGTGGAAATTGGTCTAGCTTTAATTTCTATTGGCGGGATTTAGTTAAGACAATCAGAATAGACAGTTTAAATAATCAAACTCCAGTATAGGCCTATGAGAACTTTGTTGCCTAGATATGGTTGTATTTAGTTTTTGCAAAAAATTACAAATGCAAACTTCGACCAATCATGGACAAATCATTGTTCAAATTCAATAATTCGTTCAATATTTACTTCAAAGTTTATTATCACACACAATAATGATCGCGATACAAAATAAAGCTTCCGTGCGAGATATAGTTACTTGTTTGAAAATCCAGGAATTCAACATTTTCAGGGATAAAAAGTAGCCTATATCTCAATCCAGGAAATAGGCTTTCATATAAATCCGTTTAGCCGTTTTAGTGTGATTGGGTTACAAACATTTAAACATATTCCGATACCGCCTTATTCCAAAACGCGGACTTAAGTTAGTCATGGTCCAAACCCTTATGCTGTCTCTGTCTTCTTTTAGTAAACAAGTGCGACAGCATAAATTTTAAACCAGGTCTAACTTTAGTCAACGTTTTGTAATAAGGCAGACAAAGTTTCTCTTTTTTTTTTAATATTTATTAGTAGAACGTAAGTTAGGATTAGGGGTGGGCGTTTTTAGAATAACGATGCGCGATAACGATGCCAGGTTTGGATGCGTGCATCCGATGCGACTGGATGCCGATATTGGATGCCGATGTCATCTAGTTTTTGTCAACGTTACTATAGCAACAGTGCCACAATTGTAGTTTACATTTTTGCCACCGGCACTGAAAAGTTTGTGAAACTACGACTGACATTCACTTGCACAGTTGCACTTGACAGTGCGCGGATCCGATGCGATTTATCTGATACCGATGCGCATCGATTTCACAAATATCTGAAAACGCCCATCTCTAGTTAGGATTAATAAAAAAATCACCCGTCTGAATTATCAGCATAGTGGCCTTTCGTCGCCAAATCTATGAGGGGGTTTCTCAACACCATCACTTTGAACATTTCAGGGTGCAGGCCCGCCAGGTGAGCCGTCACGAATCCACCATAACTGCCGCCGTATAGGACCAGGTTATTTCTGTCAAAAGTGTTGTTGTCTCCTTCTAGCAAGGTGGTGAGAGCGAGAAGGCAGTCGTCGACATCATAGGCACCCGAATGGCCGAGTAAACAACGAACGTTGGCGTCGCCTCTGCCGATGGAACCGCGGTAGTTCACTCTTATGGAGGCCAAACCTGCAGAGGATTGTTCGGTTCAAGGGAATGCATTTCGATAATCGAAAGATCCAAAGACGATGGTTACCCCTGAATGTATTAAATTCGGGAGTTTTGTTCCATTTTGATAGAAGATGTACTTTTGAAAAATCTTCACTTCAAGAGTATATTGCAGTCAAAATGCAACTATATGTGTATGAGCTCTACCCTAACCTGGTAGGATTTACAAGACAAAGTTTCGTACATAGCGATAGGATTAAATATCCCATTTACATTCAGCCACTGACAAATAAAGTAGCTATTCGCAAAAATACTACTAGATCAACATCAATGGTAACGTCTACAAGAATTATCGAGATTGGTATTAAGAGATTACATTATCGCACCGTGTTGCTTTCAAATTCAACAATGAAATAAGCAAAAGGTAGTGAAAGTGAGCAGGACAGCCACAATGAGGACTATTCGCCTATGAATCCGCCGCTAGAGGCGCTTGTGTACCGTGAGGTCTCCGAAATATTAAATGTTATTGCTTGTGCGTTGGGTACGCGAGTTTATCTCCTATTAAAGTGATGTTGTGAATATTTGGTAATAACTCCGATTCAATATAGCAAATATGAGTTACGTGACAATGAATGTCAGTGTGATGAAAAGTAGGGCTAAGAAAAAATATTATGTCCTCGTTTTTTCCGAACAAAACGGAACTGCGCATCACTGTTACATGGCCGATTACGTTGACGATACGGTTATTTGTATTAAAATATGATTTAAATACAGGGTGTAAAAAAAACTAAAACTACGCATTCTGTACACCCAAATAGGTAATATTACAAAATATTATAGGTGGGAAAAAAATGTTTTTTTAAGTTAAAAAAATACATTTTTTTCCAGTACGCAATGTATAGCGCGGCGCGCTACTGTGGCGCTACGCAAAGAATTTGCCTGCGTGTATGTGTGTGCGTGTGTGTAAATGGGTCGATAAAAAAGTTTCTAAATAACGTTTTGAAAATATTAATGTATATATCTTGAAAAAAAAACTTATTTTGACCTTCAATATCTCCATAGGCATAAATTTCCCAGGTATGGTCCAGAAGAAAAAAATGATCGTCATGATGTGGAAAATACGTAGCCTCCGACTTCGTTATAGTTTTTTTTTACACCCTGTATAAACTTTGATTTCATGCGTGTATTAACAAACTTTAAAAGATACACTTTTAGACCTCACTAAACAGTTGCGCCATCTGGTGAGACAAAAAACGGTAACCCTCATTGCGCTTGCACTGCGCCCTTTTACATCCGTACGAAACAGCCTTTTAAGAGATCGTTGGGCAGCGTGAGCGTCCATGTCAACAGCAAAATAAGTGACCTTTTTACATGCTCACATTACCCATTTTATGTGCCACATCCCTGCTAGCTACTGCGCAAATAGGCTGAATGTAAACGGGGTATAAGAAATATTTGATCTCTAGATTGTTCGAATTGAACAAACACTATCAAACTTAAGATTCAACTATATTGAAAGACAATATTAGCAAAATCAAAAAGACTACATGAGCTGAGTAATATATATACAGTTCTAACAATTCTACTAATATTTTAATGTAAAGGACTTTTTTTTGACAACGCAATCACACTGGAACGACTGAACTGATTTACGGATAAAATTTCAGACACATATATAGCTATCTTAGAATAATAATAATCAGGATTTTATACGCAGACAAGTCGCAGACGGAAGCTATTCAATTAAAACTGAAATACATTTTATTTATAATTATTAATCAAATCCGAAGTAAAAAAATCATTGTAACGTTTTACTTTATCCTTAGTCGGCTTACTTACGTCATCCACTACCAATTAAAAGTAGATAAACAATTTGTACAGGTAAGTGATTTTACGCCATATTTTATATTCGTATTACTCTGAAATTCGTCAGAAATAATGGCTTTATCTACGCCTTTCAAAATTTTTTTTTTAATCTAACTTTATTTATTTCACTTCTAAGTATTCACAGAATCGTTCAAAACACCTTTGCCGCCCACAAACTACCTCTAATGAATGTCCACCGCCCGCAACTGCCATAAAGCCTAATTTCAATCGACCACAACTATACTCCAATACCTTAGATTAAAACAAAAAGGGAAGATACGGCACTCGCGGTTCAAAAGTGATCCACTTAAATTATGGTGCACGATCACAATTCTCTGTAGCCACAATTGGACATTCAAACACGCTGCATGTGTTCTCAACATAACAATATTGCGTATATTATATGTTATATAAATAAAACAATGCTTTCGATGCTTTTATAAAAAACACGATAATTTTAAAATCAAATAACAAATGCCTCGGCAACACTTCTCATTCGTAAAACTGTAAAATATTTTTTTTCTCAAAAGTTACGGTTTGTCGTGAATGTTATATACGTAATCGCCATTTTGTTATCAAGAAAAGGACAACAATACAGCTCAGCCGTTCACACTCGAAAGCGGATTCGCCGTTTCGCTCTCTCTGCATTGAACTGTATAGTTCTGTCTCGGTCGCTCGATTGAATTTTATTTACAGACGTGTGCGTGTGTGAGGGTTGCTTATGTAGTTGAGTCTGATCATATTTTATTTGATGCTAGTATGAGCGTACCGTATCTTCACATGTATATGTTTTCTTATAATCCAAGCCCAATACTTACCAATCAGCGATATCCGTCGAGTTGAACATACTAGCGACATCTGTGACCGGGTTCCTCGTCACCACAGCTTTGTACAGATCCGGGAATTGTCCACTAAGGTGTGTGACTAGAAATCCTCCATGCGAGCCACCGGTTAAAGCTACCCTCTTTTCGTCCAATGGGAATTTGTTTAAGGCCTCTTCTGTGGCATATTTACAGTCTTGTACGTCCGCTTCACCGACTCGCTTGGGTAAGAAAGAGACGGATGCTTGGCCGGTGCCCGTCGAGCCTCTATAGTTGACTTGAAGTGATGCGAGTCCTGCAATACCGTACCTATTCGTAATCGCCCTCGTGTTTGGTTACATAAAAATGCGTTAATGGTATTATCAAGTTTTTGAATTTATTTTGAATCCAGTCTTAATAGGTTCTACTAAAGGAGCGATAATTATGAGAAGAAAACAAAGCAAGCAAATAGTATAAAAAATATGACAGCAGTTCATCTGGCAGACATGAAATAGCAATGTAATGTAGTGAAAGACGTCAATTTTATTGAATTTGTTTGAGATTTTAGTAAGAAAGCCTTTTAAAGTATAATTTTAAATGTTTTTTGAGATCATTTGTACCAAAGTAAAAAAAATGGTAAACAAAATCGAAGGTCTCTTTTAACAAATAGGTAACAACAAACACACAATTGAAGACTCGTATGAAGGCAAGGTAAAAGAGACCTTGTCCAATTATGAAGTGCAAACAATATTCGACCTTGGGATGCAAAATCAATTTAGTTGACTAAACTACACTAACTTCTGCCTGTGACTTTCGCGTCGCGATATTAACATTTTTATGACATTTATGTATGTATTTTACATTAACGTCCCGAATAAATATTTTGTCTTTAAACCCAACCCACTTCATGCTAAGTTCAGTCATTGCAACATGATTGATTAAAATGTATTATTCATAAATAATATTTGTTTGATGCTGTTTTTGGGAAAGATTCAACGAATTAGAAATATTATATACTGACAGAACTGCGCAAAATAGGGGTTCCACGCAAACTGCGATCAAGTGGGCGGGGAGGAAAAATGGGATCAACACGCTGATCATGGGATTGGTTGGGATTTCCGTTTAACATTATCTCGCCCAATGAATGGATAGCCAAATTCATTAACAGATATTTAATTTGTCAAAATATTTTGTTTCATCTGTGTGCATATCGCGTTAGTATTGAAGTTTAGTAGTAATATTTTTTTCTAATTTGTTGGAAAAGTTACAGTTTCGAATGATTTTAAATGGGGTTCGAACCCGTGAATTATGTATTCTTAATCAGGTAACAAACGGTATAATTGGAATTTGTCAGTTTAGATTCTCAGATATTTTTTTAATAAATTGGCAGTATTGAACAATTGATTGTCGATGAATTGCTGTATTTTATCATGTTGATGTTATCAGGCTAAGGATACAAAAAAACAAAAGTAGTCAGAGGGTCAGCTCACGCACTCGTCGAAAATATAATTTAAAAAACCAATACTGATTTTTAAAACATGACTGTAGTTAGTCGCGAATAAACTCTACTTGAAACTGCGTGAGAATGCCTGTCAACGTAACGTCAATGTGTACGTGAAAGAAATGGTGATTTGTTTAGTGCCGACTCTCTGAGTGAATAAATGGGATAAATGAATGAATGAAAGTTTAAATAGTACCTACATATTTTTGCAACAGCGTGTTTTGCCTGTGAGAGGTACAGAAACATGAACATTAATATAATAAAAACAAATTCAAACCCAATAAATGGCAACTATTCCATTAATTTCGCTTTTTCTGCTAGAGTGCGGCGGAAACGTACTACTGTATTCTAAGGGAATGGTAAAGATTTTAAAAGTTAGAATGTATAATTATAGCGTATATATTATACACACTGACTACTTTTTCAATGTGCTTTCCTACAACGGGCCTGCTGGAAGAAATTTCAGATTGAAATATGCTGTGCCCTTGTACTACTATCTTATTTTGTATGTCATTTGTGTGTACAAAATGTATAAATAAGAATAAATTGAGTTTACACATGTAACACCGCCCCTTAAACTGTACTACTACTTTTTAACATATGTTGTAACTTACCCAACATAGCGAATAGCGCGGCTTCCATAGAGAATGCATTGACAAACCCGGAGTGGGGGCCTCCGTGGGGCCAAACTACCAGGGGAGCTTTGCCCTCCACTTTGGGCAGCATCAGAATAGCGGAGAAACTATCTATAGAAAACAAACAAATAATCAGAATTATACTCATTTTTCAATTTGACGACTATGTATATAATACAGGAAGAAAAAACAGCCCTTGCTGAGTTTCTTGCCGGTTCTTCTCAGTATAAGGTCTCCCGCCGTAGAGTTGCGAACCGATGGCGTAGCTTTTCGACATTCACAAGTGCTTGTAACAGCCTAGACTGAATAAACGACATTGAATTTTGATTTTTTTAATCAAAATCATTTATTCAGTTCAGGCTGTTAGAAGCACTCATGAATGTCTAGAAGCTATGCCATCGGTTCGTCAATCTACGGCGGGAGACTTTGTACTGAGAAGAACTGGATTTTTTGTTTTGCAAACGCATTTTCTACTGTTCAGTTGGCAGCCTTGCATTATTGATTTATATTTATTCCAATTTATTGAGTCAGTCATTCGTTCATCGTGTGGCGTGAGCCGTTATTTTGTTTTCGTAAAATTAAGGCAGTGACTGAATTTGTAATTGAAATATCGTTCGTTAAAATTTATCGATACAAGTAAGTATCGATACTTTATGACCGATACAGTATCGATACCTAGACGGTATCGTTTCATCCCTAGTTGGATGTAATCCGCCGGCCAAACGGTTGTAATCCACGCGCCCAACCGCGAATGTAAACACGCGCCCGTAATCCAAAGGACGTTGAAGGTCAAATCAAAATTTGGATTAGATTCTTCGTCTAGATAGATGGCAACGGGCAAGGTCACCTTGGTTGGTACGCTGGATTACATCCGTCTAGAATCTCTTATCTATTAGACAAGTCCGTCCGTCCGTCCGTCTGTCTGTGGTGCTGTTTCAGCGGCCAAACCGTAAGAGATAAATAAAGAGAATGTTTAAGTTATAAGTTAAGAATAGTCTGATAAGACTACAAACCGGATTTGAGTAACGTAGCACTTCCGGTTTTCGAGAAATCACGGATTTCAAACGAAACCACACAAAATCTCCGAAGTTCTCAATTAATTAAATACATATCAGGTTTTGGTGAACATTTGGTTCACTGGTTTGCTAGTAGGTCTTAATGTTGTGGAGATTTTTCGCTCGTTTTTCTCCGCAGCTAAAAAACATGTCCCATAACGAGTAGGTAGGGAAAAAACTGTTTGGACGACTCAAAAGAGTTGTACTATACATCCAATTTGAATAAAAATATATTGATTACAAACAGACACTCCAACTTTATTTATATGTATAGATTATTAATTTAGTTTGAAGTTGGTTAAAAAAGATTACTCACTGACATCCGCGTCATGTGGTGGGTGAGCGAGATGCATATATTGCACGCGGCTACTCTGTACAGCGGCGGGAATGGGACAGAGAGAACTGACGGCCACCCATTTGATGGAAGATTCGTTGCCCGCGGATGGCAAGCGTGCGACGTATAACTGGAAAGGAAAAATATAATATAATCACAATTTTTATTTTTAAGCATGTAACTGCTTGATGTTTAAATCTAAAGAAAATATAACTAGAAAAAATTCAACGCGGACCAGGCAGCAGACGGGATTTCTTTCAAATGTTTAATACTTGTAAAAGTATTCATTTGACATTGTGGGTTACCCACAATGAGAAGAGATGGCGCTGTCTTGCAGCTTAAGAATGGCTAGAGGAATTTCAACGCGGCCATCAGGGCCGCGGTAGCATAAGTACATTTGCCCGGATAGCGAAGGGTGCTGGTTCAAGTCCCGTCTGCTGCCTGGTCCGCGTTGAATTTTTTCTAGTTATATTTTTTTTATAATATAATCATTTACTCATTACCCAATATTTTAAATTTTTAGTAACTACTAGCGGCCGCCCGTGACTACATGGAGTTAGTTAGAAAAAAAGGTTCACTGCTCGTTCCCCGTAGGTGATAGCGTGATAATATGTAGCCTATATGTTGACCCGACTTCATAATTAATAATATTCTTGTAAAATTTTAAGTTTGTTTTTTGTTTATCCCGGACATAAATACAGACAAATAGACAAACAGACGAAAATTCTAAAAACTATATTTTTGGCTTCGGTATCGATTGTAGATCACACCCAAAATTCGTTCTTTTAAAAAATATTCAATGTACAGTTTTGACTTTCCTACCATTTTATTATATGTATAGATAAGTCTTCTTAAGTCTAGGGGTATACATACGAAAAACTCCTGAAATGGACCCCTAACCCAGAAACTAGTAAAAACTGTATAATCAGTGTTAGAGATTCCTCGGTCGATACTTTGGAAAATCATACTGTCGGAGATAACGCATCTTAAAAAGGATGCGAAACGTCGAGTTATTTAAAAAAATATTAAAAAAACGCTTTTTAAGCCCATTAAAAAGTAGTTTTATTAAATGAGTGGCATGCATGAAAACACAAGAAAAAAAAATTTACCCCAAAAAAATTCTTGATTAGATTCATCTATCAAGCAGTTTAATATTAAAATTATACTTTAACTCAACAGAATAACACATATATTAAAAAAAGCTATTACCTGCGCAGGAGTGGTCAAATTGGAGCAAGCGGCGAGTATGACGTCAGACTTTATATCCAGCACTGTGGTAGAACAGGGCATCTCCTTGTTCGATATATCCACTATGCGGCCGCCATCTATGAACAAAATCGTTTACATTTGAAAAATATATGTTACATAACAGACAAGGACTATATTAACGAATTTATATATCGATAGTGAAAAAACAAAACCGCTTAAAAGCCACTTTAGGCACTTTACAGAAGCGGGGATCAGTTATTATTTTCACAAAAAAAAAACAAAACTATAAAAACATATTCATATAATAATATTTTCTTCATATCCTCCTATTAAAACTTAAACTATTCTAAGCGGCGCTGCGGGTTAGAGTGAGAGAGGAGCATACCATATGCGTGAGAGGTAGGGAAGCCAGACAGACTGGCGCCGTAACGTGTTACGTAACGAAACGGTTTACCTTCCCATAAGAATTATCACACTTCAGATACCCGCGACCCCCTTTACGGTTGACTCACTAAAACCTTTTACCTCAAATCAACGCGGTCGAAATTACAGTAAAGATATAGATAATATAAGATATATACGTACCGACATCCACTATATAGCTGCGGATCTCGTTCTTCTGCGGTGTGGAAAGCAGCAGCCGCTTGCCGTCCGCGCAGAAGCAACGTTCCGGCAACGCGGCGCAATAAACGCCATAGAAACTGTCCCCGCCCGCTATTTTAAGTTCATCCTGCACTATGTCTATGACAGTCGTTGTTTTGGTCTATGAACAAATTAAAAGAAATATTTTGACGTGGTAACGTGGACGAAAAATACCGGCCAAGTGTGAGACGGAGTCGCGCACCGAGGGTTCCGTACAACGTCAATTTAAATACCTCTATGCGTTCACGAGAAAAGAGGTAGTAACTTTAAAATTTTCAATTTTTTTTTTTATATTATATGATATAACTAAAAATTTACCGTTTTCGCAATTTTTCCTTTATCTGTACCATAAGACGTTACTTCGTACCAAATTTCAAGATTCTAAGTTCGCGGAAAGTACCCTGTAGGGTTTGATTCCCGTGCGAGTTTCGAAAAGGTGCGGCATAAACGGCTGTATTTTTTGATTGCTTTGGCTTAGAAGTTTGATTTTTTTCACAGCTCCAAGGGACAGTAGACCTGAGTATTAGATATGAATTTCAGTTTGATACCTCCTCGTGTTCCTGAGAAAAACGGTCTTGACAGACCGACGGACGGACAACAAAGTGATCTTATAAGGATTACGTTTTTTCCTTTTGAAGTACGGAACCCTAAACAAATACAACGAAAGTGACAGAAGAAAGAACGAAGAACACTCAGAACATGGAGATTAGAGAGAAAGAGAACGATCGCTAAGTACGTAAAGCATTAGCCCTTCTGCCCTGTAAAATTTGTAGAATTTATAGTTCATTTTTCAGCCACCAGCCGCGCTGCCGTCGGTAAGTAGTATCTGGGAAGTTAGCTGTTTATGAGTACAAGTAGATGAAATTAGTTGAATAATGTACAAATTTTCGTCGCGGCATTGGTCATTTCAAATTAGCGCACAACAGCCCGCTTTTATTGAGACAACTTAGCGATCGCAGCGCCTCACTTATTTTGTCCATATTTCTGGGACACTATTTCCTACAGCGATCGTTCTGCTTCTCTCTAACCTCCATGACTCATAACAAGTAATAAAGTCTATGAAGAAATGAAAAGAAATATTGTGACGTTGTAACGTGAACGAAAAATAAAACACAACGAAAGTGACAGAAGAAAGAACAAAGAAGGCTCAGAACAAGTGAAAAGCATAGAATGAATGCAATAACGTTTCAACATAATATATTTGTCTCTCTTCTGGTATATAATGTAAAAATAAGATAACTGTTTGAGTTGTATTTTAACTCTATCTATGATTTCATTGTTCTAAGAAAGAAGAAGAAAGTGGTAACTGTATATTTAATGAAACTCAAGCATTAATTGACATATTAAAAAAATACAACAATACCGTTATTTTCAGCAATCTATAGCAAAACGTATCACTGACAAGCACGAAAATGTATGAACAGTCGATGCTAATAATGAAGATATAACGCTGAAGGTACCTTTCCGTTCCCGAGCATGACTAGTTGATGGCAGGCGTGGTGTGGGCCGCCCACTGTCCTCTGCAGCCAGAACAAGTCTCCGTTGGGAGAGAACCGGGGCGAACGAACCGCCATACCGTCGTTAGAGATTTTTCCTATGACAAGTTTGAATTCTGCTAATTTTGATTTTAATATAAAAAAAAACCCTATTAGAGTATGCGGCGCACACTGCTTATATTTTGTGAAAAAACTTACTTATCTGTCTACTGAGAGGTGTACAATCTGGTAAATTATTTGAGCAATGATATGAACGATTTTACATACAAAAATTTTTCTGTGTATGCTTATTATTCTGTGGTTTTGCTCAAGAAATTTGCAGCTACTTAAACATGTCCCCATATATCGTTGTGAATGTCATCACGAAATGCCAAAGTTTTTCTTTTGCCATTTCGAAAGTCGGACAACAAAGTTTTGACGCCAATGAATAAATAAAAAAACGTTAGAAACTACTGTCAATTTTGAAACAAACAAAATTTCTCTTTTGACGCTTTTCGACTTCCAAACATATGAAATTAACCACGAGTTAACCAAATCTTGGACAACTTAAAAAAAGCAGAACAAAGTATGATCTAATGATGTCGATTATGACTCCCTAAACTTAAAACTTTATTTAACATCATTCTCTCCTTTTCATTCTTTATAGAGAATGACAAGGTTACACTGTTGTCAAATTTAAGTTTAGGTTTAGAGAATAATGCCAGAATTGACAACACCATCGCACTTACAACCCTTAGACTGCGTTTTGGCCGAGATCTAGTCAAACGGTTTTTATTTCAGCATTCCTTCTATGTCTATTATTATTCTATATAAGAAACTGGCACAAGTGGTAACACGCTCGGCTGCGATCATTGAAGTTAAGCAACTTTCACAGTGGTCGTTGAATAGATAGGTGACCAAAAATGTACAATCTCGAGCTCCTCCGTGCTTCGGAAGGCACATTAGAATCCCAGCTGCATCTGCAATCGTTAGCACCTACCAATCTGCACTACGCCCGCGTGGTGGGTCACCGCCCAATCTTCCATCCATAGGGAAGGCCTGTGCCCCAGCAGTGGGGACAATAATAGTCTGATGATGCTGATAAGAAACTCACTCATATGCCCGTCGAGTGTGAGATTGAATATATAGCTGGGTCGGTTGGTGCAGAACATTAAGCCAAGCCTCCTCGGTTCCGTGTCCCACGCAACGCCTACCACGCTCTGGCCGTCCGCTGAGAACCGAACCTGGATACGAACGATAATAGCTGGTCATCCACTAACGCTCATTGCTGCCGGCATTTATAATCCGTGCGGATTGAGTGATAGTCGATGTGCGAGAGCGAGCAAGCAACTGACTATTCAATTCGTACGTATTATAGATTCCAGCAAGAATGAACGGTAGTGGATGGCCCACTAATAGCTGTTACGTGTTAAAAACGTCACATGAGTTTTGTTTGGTTGAAGAGAGAGATAGAAGGCCTCTGTTTAGGTCGACTCCCTCTTCCTCCTTTATCATAGATTGTTTTTGCCAGTCCATGCGGTTTTTTTATTTTCTGTGGCTTGACAAGGCTTCTAGTCTCATTTCTGAATTATTAATAATATATTTTTTCATAAATTAAATATTACTGTAAATGGTGGGTCCGAATCTGGCATTGTCATTTAAGCCAGAAAGACAAAGAAATGAAGGAAAAACACAACACGGCTAAGTAGCTAGTAAATATTTCTATCATAATATCTCACCTGTCCCGGACACCAGGCTTCGGGCAAACCTTCAAGTACCATACACGTCTCTGTCTGCAGCTTGCATACCACGATAACAGATAGATACTTGCCCACCAATTGCTCACCCCAATCCTGGCGGTATAGGTACTCCTCGCCCTGCAAATTTATTAAAAGAAAATTTAATTACAGTCCCCGTAGCATGAGCACCACAATTTACATTATATCACGTTTAAACTGTCGAACTCCATATTAATCTGACTTGATTGAGCGTGATAAAAACGCGATATAATATAATATATCATATCTTTTCATATGGCTGGACATTTTTCAGAAAATAAGATATTTCATTATCTATTGGCAAATAAATTTGGTCAAGTCAAATATTACAATACTCACCAGTACCGGAAGCACCATTTATTTACTTACAGTTGGTGCTTATAATACACTATATAAAAATACACAATAGTTTGGCATTAGAGTGATGCATTAGATCTGGTAGATAACCGCAAATCATTTTGAGGTACTAGGTTGTGCAAACTAGCTACACATCAGGATCTAACTAAATTTCTTAGAATTGAAGGAGTAAAAAATGGAAAAAGAATCAGACCTATATATCAACATTTTTGATACTATTATAAAATAGTTATAAACATTGATTAATCGATATATCAATATTTTTGTTTACTTTCGACATCCCTAAGTGGAGTCATAGTGAAAAAAGTAATATGTAAGTAGCTTTTTTTACCTTTTTAGGAAGTGCCTCCCCACTCCCATTCATTTTAGGTTTGTCTTCTCCCTTCCTCTTGACGTAAGACTCGAATTTAGGTAATTTTCTTTCAGCTACGTAAACTATTGAACTTTCATCTCGGGACCAATGCAAACTACCAAACTCCGCTGAAATAATATATTTAGGTATACAGAAAAGTGACAAAGTAACTGAAAAATCGTATTAGTCACTACAATAATAATAACTTTTAATTATAACACTCTGCTATTGTGGAAGTCAGACTCAATCAGTCTCAAACGTACGGTTGTTCAGATGACACACCACACATTGATTAACCAACCTCACAAATGTACTAATAACATCTTTATTAAAAGATCATGATAAGAGTCATAGGGCTTCTTCATAACACTCACCATCAGCGTAGACATCACCATGTATGTCAAGAGCAGTAAGGTCGATACTGTGCACCAAATTATTTTTCTTCCAAACCTCTAAATACTGCTTTTTAGCATCCTTACTATCCTTTTCTTCACGAATGACTGCCTTGAATGTCTCTTGAGGAGAGATGGACGACAGTAATCTTAAAATAAAACATAATATATTGTTTCAATACAGTTAAATTTAAGGTTTATAACCTTGTTCTATAATAATGATAAGTATAAAAATAGCTTTATTTCCAAAAGGTTGCAATTTTTCTTCAGGTTCATGAGGCATTAAAATTTAAAGGCTGCTTGAATTTGTGGAATCTTCAAAGAGCAAATATTTGTGTGAAGAACATGCCTTTTGGATGTTTATATATATTTAAGAATAATTTTATGCTATCTAGCACCCACCATATTATTAAATGTATGCCAATAAAACAGCAACTAATTAACTATGTAAACGACAGCCTAAACTAGACCTAGTCCCTGAATTTCCAGGACTTCACGTCTTGTTCCAGTACAGACATTGCAAATACAGATAAATAAAAATAATGATGCTGATGAAACATACTCTAATAGAAAAATTAAAAAGACAAAACCTTAAAATGTTAATACAAATTTACTAATTTTGATTTGTGGTATAATTACAGCCTAAACTTATTAAATTTATGAATAAAAAATTACAATAGTTTTTCAATTACTTACTCATTACTAATATCAATTCCAAATTCACTCTCTGCGATGACATTGAAGCTATCGTTCAGTACATAGTTGTAAAGAAACCTGCTGCTCTTGCCCTTGTCCAAGTTCCTCACTGACCAGCGTGAGCTGATCTTGCTACCATTCCTAATCAACTTGCCACCTAACACTGTAGGTATTTTTGACAAAGTTTTATATGCATTCACAATGCTTTCAAGCTGAAATTTAAAAAGAAAAAATATTACTGCTAGTGAAGGCCCAAAATATGATTTATATATATAAAAATACAAGGCTTAATATAATAGTAAAAAATATACCTGAGACATTTTGTTCATAACAGACACAACACTCTGTTCTCCAAGTACAAAATTTTATCTGAAACCAAAATTAAAATAAATACTATACTATAATAATGTAAGACTGAACTACTGATTCTTACTTCCCTAGTCCTTGCATCCTACATTTTTAGATTAGGTTAATTAATAAAAAACATGCATTACCGCCTAAAATCTTAAGTGGGGGGGGAGAGACTTTCCCCTCCCCCCCACATCAAAACTACCCCGAAATTCAACCTTTTTTTCTCAAGTTCTATTCGTTTCCGCCTAAAAAGATTTCGTGATGATTTCGTGTATGTGCTCTAATAATTAATACTTTGCGTGACAAAAATTTCAGCTCGCAACTCAACCACATCTAATGGAAAGCTGAGCCAATATGTATTACCCTACCAAAAAATACAAGGCTGAAGAATATGTGGTAATATATCTTATACCTCTTTGTAATGCTAACAATTCAAAGATAAAACTATTTACTTAAGATTTAATATGTTTATCATGTACATCAAGTTCATTTACATCAATTGAATAACTACTACTGCCAGCTTTTTCTTTACCTTATTTCTGATCAAAATAGAAGATTTTCAGAAAATCACAGATTACTAAAGAAAAGTTTACTAGAAGAAACTTAGATATTAAAGTTAGATTTAAAGATCTAGCAGTTAAATGCTTAAAAAATAAATAAAATCATAATCACAGATTACGTTCACTCAAATTAAGATTATAAGTTTACTAGCTACTAGTTTACCTTTTTACAAACTTATATACTTTTGGATACAAAGCCGTAAAATAAAAAGATCTTTATATTCCTCTGCATAATTAAATACATCGAAGAAGTTTAATTATTACCACAATTTATTAATGATAAATATAAGTTAACATACCTACCTGTTTGTTGCTTAGATGTCCTGATACTACTGAACTGAATCGCCGGCTAGCGAACATGAAAACACGGAACACCACAATAAAGTAAGAGATATACAAAACACAATGAATTAATGAAAAAAAAAGAATGAATGATAGAATAGAAAAAGATAAGAAGTCACTTGTTGCCTGTTGGATTTTGGTAGTTTAACGAAACTAAAATGAAAAACCCTAAAACCCCGAACAAGACCGAAAAATTAATGACAATTGCGAAATGGGAATTGAGTTGACATGACATGACAACAACTTGACAATTTAGTGAATTTCAGTGTTGCCAATGCCATGTCTAAATACTAGTCGACGGAGATACCCCTCAAAAAATACGATAGATTCTAAAAAAATATGGTGATAGACCCAGGGAAAGAACGGTGTTAAATTACGGTAGGCATTCATCTTTTTATTTCTACCGTTACCATCGTGAATTTTTTTCACATTTTTTTTTTCTTTGGCACTACCACTTCAGATAGAGAATCAGGATCATTTTCACTAATTTTCTAAGATCTACATTTAAATAAGTAAATAAAAAACGTAAGAAGCTCGAACACTCAATAGAAATAAAACAGCCAGGCAATAATAATAATTGATGTAAATACAATAATCCAACCAAATATCAATCTTGTTCTAAGAATTTTAAAATAAATGTGTAATGTGCCTACTTTATTTTATAGTATTCGATACGGGGCGTGATCCAAGGGGAATCCCCGAGTAAAGATGTGTACTTTATGACGACTGTGATAGCAGTATCTCTTGCGAAGTTGCAATATTCCCCTCAAGCGGTCTTAGGAGCGAGCTTTTTACCACTGAACCACCGGTGCTTGATGTTAAGGTCTGAATTGTTTAATAACAATTAAAATGTAATGATGAGACATACTAAAGATGAACAAAAAAATTGTATCGATTTAATAAAAGTTTCACGTTAACAACCTATCAACTATACCCCTTATTAATAAACAAAGACTACGCTTGGATTAGTAATTCCATGTTTTGTCTCTGTCTTTTGAATGATAAATGGCATTTGAGTGACATGAACAAAACACGGCGTAACTAGTGTTTTATTTTTATTAAACACTCACACCAATAGCCTAGACCCAAATTAAGCACTATAAGGCTTGTGTTATGATGGGATACTAGGGTAACGGATAGAATACAAATACTGTACCTATATAAGTATATTTATATAGTAATACATATTAAACATCCATGACTGGAGTACAAATGCTCGTATTTATAACACAAACATCTGCCCCCACCGGGATTCGAACCCGGGACCTCTCGAGTCGGCGACACCATGAAACACGGCGTACAAACCACTCGGCCACGGAGGATTATTCCTTATTTATTAAGAAGTGGTTAATGTTTTAATCTAAGTGTACCTACACACGCTAAGTATGTAGCGTATATTAGCTAATTCCAGAAAATATTCTTTACTAGTGGCCCGCCCTCGCTTCGCTTCGGTGTAGAGCTGTAGTTTAGATTATATTTTTGTTCTCAGGTTTCTATTAAACACAATGACTTTCTTTAAATACCTAATTACTAAAGACACGCGCCGCCGCCGGCCCCCCGGTCAGTACTGCCCGAACCGGTATGTTCCTGCATTTTAAATCTGTAATATCTTCGAAAATATTCATTTAAATTACATGCTGTAGAGGGTTATATTGATCTATATTACACGCACAATGTATTTATGGTACTTAATTGGATAAGGATTAATGCTGTATTGCTTAAAATCGCTTGTTCGTAAATAAGCCATTATTTTCTCGTAATAAGTAATTAAAAAATAGTTATTGTGGGTTATACCAAAGAGATAGGCATATACCATCGCGGACTTTTTTGTAGACCTTTTTAAGGTGTACAATACTGTAGTACATTATTTTGATCTATCTCGTTGGGTTCAGCCAGCGTTTGCAAAGTAAGCGCAAAAAAATGTGGTTATTTACGACCTTATATTAAAAACCTCTAAAATTATCAGTGTTTCTCTACTATATTACGCATGTATTATACATATAAACCTTCCTCTTGAATCACTCTATCTATTAAAAAAACCGCATCAAAATCCGTTGCGTAGTTTCAAAGATTTAAGCATACAAAGGGACATAGGGACAGAGAAAGCGACTTTGTTTTATACTATGTAGTGATACCCTACGAGTATTTAAACAGCTGCGCTGTTCTAAAATATCATTTATTTTTATTTGTTAACAGCAAAGTGAACAGAACAAGTGTTTTGTTGTAGAGACAACGGGTCCTAGGGGCCCTGCTGTAAAAATATTTAAGGATATAACTGCTCGCCTGTGCGAGACTACGGGGGACCCAAGATCTGGTAGCTTTTTTGCTCAACGAATTAGTTTGGCGATACAGCGAGGCAACGCTGCCAGTCTTCTGGGGACCGTGCTCCAGGCGAACTCAATGAAATATTTCAAGTGAACATTTTTAAAGTGGTACTGATTTTAAGTTTGAATCCATTCTAATATTATTATACGAAATTTTAACAGTCTGCCTGTCTGTGTGTTACCTCTTCATACTTAAACCACTAAACCGATTTAGATGAAGTCTGGAATAGAGGCATTTTCAATCCCAAGAAAGGACATAGAATACATTTTTATCCCAGAAACCATCCAATATGAGAACAAAAAAGGAGTTGGAAGTTTGTATGAGAAACCAATTTTTCCAAAGACAGCAAAAGAAGTTGCGATTTATTATAATATTTTTACGATCTGACCATCATAAAGTGCATCTATTTTGTGTCGGAATCTCAATTGCTCTAGGATTTACATAGCGTGGTTTTAGGGATGCCAAAAAAAGTGATGGAATACTTACATGCAGACTAAACAGCATAATCTTATCATAAACAGCTAAAAGGGAAATGATTGACTTTTATCTTTAAATCAATACTTAAAATAGTATAGTAGCTACAGCCACGAATCAATCGTTTTTGGGCAGTCATGAGTAGATGTTTTAGAAGTGTTTCTGATGTGGAACAACTACTGAGGCGGATGTTAAAGCTATTAAGTGATTACGCTTGCAATGATAAAAACTTACAAGCTTGAGCAGTGAGCTTAGCACCTTAATTTTGTCACTTATTTGCTAGATCTTAGATCTAGATTTAGATCCCAACTCAAGGTGGCATCATTTTTTGTGTTGAAGTTATACTTGTTTCTTTTTCCTTATTTGTTTCCTTGATTCTTCTCTTTGTGATGTGATAACGTGATGAGCACCGGCTGCACGCACGAAAACTTGTGACGTCATGTGACGGTCACGATATGTGACGTCATTTATGGCATATTTCAACGTTCCACGGTGTGTGTAAATTGAGGTCGAGGGGATCTTTCGACCACTCTCCTACCCCCTGATTTTTATTTTATTTTTCTAATATTTTCTTTTCTTTTGTTTCTTGCTTGTGAACAATAAGTTTAGTAGTTTCACATTATCTGACAGGCATTCTGCGACAGATAACCTACTACATATTTTTGTGATGAGAATTAAAATACCTATTTAGTTACGTAAGTAGGTTACATAATACCTATTAATTTATTGTTAAATTGTACATCCTTATTTATGTTTGAAGTCTCGGTCTCAACTACATACTTAATAATTTATGAAGAATAATTTCCTTTATCCTTGAAAGAACATAAGTTCCCGTCATTCAGACAAATGCCTGCCTATATCGGATTTGTATTAGAGATATACTTGGGAGATAAAGGTTACAACAATATCTTGAACTTGATTTCATTGTGAACCTTATTATTATGTAATTAAAGACGAGGGTGAGGCTTATTAAAAATTCGCCGGACGCGTCGAGCTGCCGCGCCGCTCGATACGTACGGCGCGCGCGTACCGTGCGGTGCGACGCAACCCCAGTGTTCACCGGTTTCACTCCCCGACAACACACCCTCTTTGTGTATCAGCCCAAGTGATTTCAAAAAAGGAACGAAAAAATAGTATTTTACGTTGCAAAACACGTGGAACAATTGAATTTCTCATTAAGTACTTTTTATCACCCTAAAGTAATATTTAAGACAAATTTGATTCCAAATAGTACTTAATTAACATTTAAGTATTATAAGAGGTTAATTAAGGACCGTGATATAGTTGCGGTCACTGTAAAATATAAAAAATCTTAAAAAAATTGCTAAACTTACATCTTTTTCCCGCGCATAAACTTTTAACAAAAGCTAGTGACTGCAGCAGCAGTAGGATTTTTTAAACAATGAACGAAGTAGATTTGATCAAAGAAGTTGAGAAACGGCCTATTCTGTACGACAAATCAGTGAGTGGCTTTAACAAAACGAAATTACGTGATGACGCGTGGAAAGAAGTTCAGGAAGCTCTCAACGTGTCAGGTAAATCTGTTTTTACGACGGAAGTTGGCAGTTTTTGGTCATTATCACTGCTACTAGTCCTAAGTTTAGTAGGAATGCCTTCCTATAGCGATAAGATAGATGCAATTATCGCCCTTAAAGATATAAACCACAATTTTTTTGATCCACCTATGAAATAATAAATAGTAGTAAGTTGTAATTTTATTAATAAACTAGCGGCCCGCTTCGCTTCGGTGTAGAGCTAAAGTGTAGACTACATTTTTTGTTCTCAGGCTTGTATTATACACAATGACATTCATCTATGATTCTTCTTATACCTGCATGCAAAGTCTCAGCCCGATCGGTTTAAAGACAAAGTTTCATACAAAGTTTCATTCCCTATTTTATCCCCTTGGGGGTAGAATTGATCAAAATCCTTCCTTAGCGGATGCCTACGTCATAACATCTACCTGCATGCCAAATTTCAGTCCGATCCGTCCAGTGGTTTGGGCTGTGCGTTGATAGATCACTATGTCAGTCAGTCACCTTTGAGTTTTATATATACAGGGTGTTACAGAATTCCGAAATAAAATTTGTAGGTATGTATTCCGAAATAAGAATTTGTAGGTATCTGAGTGGGGCGCAGGGGCGCCTGGGGGAGAGAGGGGGGTCTGTTTAGGTAGTAGTAATCGTACGCATTTACAGGGTTGTCATAGGCAGGTGTAAAGCGATATTGTTATTAATTTAATTATAAAATAAAAGTGATCTGAAAGGCGTCAAACTTTCGTAGGTAATTCTATACAAGGAACACAACCAAACCCTAAAGTTTTATTTCGGACTTTTGTCACACCCTGTATAGATAGGGGTACAGAATGTAAGCTACATTGAAATGGGACAAACAAAGTGAACTTTCGGTCATACCAAACAGCAGATGTTTAGTTTTCTTTAGAACAGCTGTTTAAATACTCGTAGGGTGTATAAAAATATTTTCTGTAACTAGGTTATATACGTAACGTACTCAGCGTATAGGTACACTTAGATTAAAAGATGACTCCCTTATTAATAAACAAGGATTAAACTAAGACTAGTTACGCCGTGTTTTGTTCATGTCACTCAAATGCCATTTGTCCTTCAATAGACATAGGCAGACCCGTCTTTCCCAGTGGGCACTTTGGGCAAGTGTCCAGGGCCCCGCGATCGATAGGGGCCCCCCTCAGATCAAAAACAAAGTCCCTACTTCCTGTTAAATCACCAAACCGAAGTCATAGGGGCCCCATTATCCTAATATGCCCAGGGCCTCCAATAGGTCAAAGACGGCACTGGACATAGGCAAAGCATGGAGTTCCTTATCCAAGCGTAGTCTTCGTTTATTAATAAGGGGAATACAGTATAGTTGATAGGTTGTTAACGTGAAACTTTTATTAAATCGACACATTTTTTTGTTCATTTTTAGCATGTCTCATCATTACATTTTAATTGTTATTGAAAAAAACAAAACCTATCATCACGCATCGGCGGTTAAGTGGTAGAAAGCTCGCTCCTAAGTCCGCTTTAGGGGAATAAAGCAACTTCGCAAGAGATACTGCTATCGCAATCGTCTTATAGTACACATCTTTTTTTTTGCTATTGGGTATAAGCTCTTGATCCTTAACAACTAAAGATTAAAACAAAAAGGGTAGATACGGTACGCTCGTACTTGCATCAAACAAAAACTGATCCCACGGCAGCGCGAACGGGATGGCGAGATCCGCGTCACTGCATTACCGACCTGAGCGAAACAGCACGTTAAGTTTCAACGGCAGCGCGAACGAGACGGCGAGATCCGCGTCACTGCACTACCGACAAATCACGCGACCAGTACTCGACGTCACTACTGAATAAGATTCAAAACAAACAGCAATTTTTATGAAAAAATATATTTAATAGTACTTACGAATGAAAAGTGATGCCGTGGGTTTTATTTTTAGTTCTTGAGCAATTTGAGCACTTTTTAAAAACACACTTAGGCATTGTTTTATCATATAAAAACAAAATATTAGCAAAATTTTTTTAGCGTTCACATGTACGTCGTTTGCATGTCAAGTTGTGACTAAAGCGATTAGGGTCGTGGACCACAATTTGTGCGGATCACTTTTGTGAGGCTAGTGCTGTATCTACCCTTTTTGTTTTAATTTAAGTTTAACAAGCCCGAGAGCAGAGATGGGAGCGTTGTAGCGAGCTTACCCTGAAGGAGCCTAAAATGACTTTGGCTTTCAAAAGAATTGGATTATGTACTCGGAACAGGCAGGCAATTCCGCTCCTTCGCTGTCATCATCATCATTAAGTTCTCACTGCTGGGGCACAGGCCTTCCATATGGATGGAATAGGGAGATTGGGCCATGACCCACCACGCGGGCCCAGTGCGGATTGACGTGTGCTAACGACTGCAGACGGGACCAACGGCTTAACGTGCCTTCCGAAGCACGGAGGAACTCGAGATAGAAGATTTTTGGTCACCCATCCAATGACCGACCACTGCGAAAGTTGCTTAACTTCAACGATCGCAGCCGAACACGCTAACCACACTAACCACCCTTCACTGTACGCATTATAAAAGTATTTGAGAAGCTATTGGTGCGAATGGGAGAAACGGCAACCAAGAAAGGATGCCGTGCGTCTGAAGGTCTGATCTCTTAACCATCAAACGGATCTTAGCTTGTTTGTGACGCTTTCCATATACGCTCAATAAATTGATGACAGCTCTTTTATAATAAACAGAGTCGGAATGTAAGAAGCGATGGCGGTCTCTTCGTGATTCCTTCATCAAGCTGCAGCGAACGCACGGCGGCCGCACCCGCTGGCCTTACCATCATGCTATGAGGTTCCTGCTGCCCCACGTCGAACCCAAACCAGACTCCGGGTAACTATCATTTATTAATCACAATTATCTTACAGGTCGCAGATGAACTTTAAGCTGAGGACTCACGGCGCTATTTTCTCCCGCACCCGTCGCGGCTGCAGATGTTAGGCAAAACGCAAAAGCATAACTCAGGGCGCTATTTCCGCCTCCAGAGCGCGCGAGTGTTTGCGTTACGGAAAAAAAAACAGGCCCGTGTGTTCTTAACCATACAGGGAGGGTTTCGGGATGGCGAGATCCTTAAGATAATTCAAGTCTAGAAATCGCGAATTTCTCTAGCGGTCGGTATTCTAGGTGGATTATCTCCACTCGGGTGAGTCTTCATCTCCGTCTAGAGCCACTAGGCCACTCTAGTCTGAGGGGCGACGGCTCAACTAAATGGCGGCTCTATATAGTTAGCCATTATAATGGACGACGGGGAAAAACGCATGACTATCAGAGCTGATAGTAGTTTTTGCGCTATAAAGCTAGTTGCAGGAAATGTTCTTTCGTATTTTGTCGACCTCCGTGGCCGAGTGGTTTGTACGCCGGGTTTCATGGTGTCGCTGACTCGAGAGGTCCCGGGTTCGAATCCCGGTGGGGGCAGATGTTTGTGTGATGAATACGAGCATTCTATATGAATATTCTTATATATGTACAGTATTATGTATTCTATCCGTTACCCTAGTATCCCATACCACAAGCCTACAGTGCTTACTTTGGGGCTAGGCTAATTGGTGTGTGTTTGATTTTTTTTTCGTATATACGAAGTCTGTATCCGCTGGTTCTGGCCTTACAACCACGCTTTGAGGTTCCTGCAGCCCCACATCGAGCCCAAACCTGACTACAGGTAACTAAATTTATTGAAGCGTGATCAGTAGCGACAGTGGACTCTGGTTACTTGTTATTTAAGCTACAGCTATGTTATGAGTGATGCGGTTTCATTCCAGCTGAGCCCACGTTGAGCCGAAATCAGACTCCAAGGAACTACATTCGTTAAAGCATGAGAATCAGAAGCGATAGTGGTCCCTGCCCCCCTAGCATGAGCATCGAAACGGGATATGATAAAGCTTTTTATCGAGTCTCAACTGTCAAACTCCACTGTAGTCTGACAGTTAATGCCGCTATATCGCTTTATCATATCCCGTTTCGGTGCTCATGCTAGGGGGGCTGTATCTGTGTGACTGCTGCAAGCTGCAGCGTATGTACGGTAAACGCACCCATTGTACCTACCATCATGCTATAAGATTTCTGTTGCCTCACGTCATGCCCAAGCCAGACCCAGGGTAACTACCTATATTTATTGAAGCCTCAAACGCGATAGTGATCTCTGCGTGACCTCTGAATTACTTTGTGCTGGATGTGTTCCTAATAGAACGGAGTTTCTGTAGGTCATCGTGCTGGACGTGCTCCCATTATAACGGAGTTCTTGTAGGGTATCGAACAAATAGTTATAACCAGTACAAGCTTATCGTAACATGGTTCAGTTACTCATAAAGATGCCATTGATAGTCCATTTAAATTAACAATAAGAAAAATTGCCATACTTCATCCTGTACCTGTAGCATGAGCACCACAATTTACATTATATCACTATTTTATTGCGCCTTACTGTCAAACTCCATAGTAATTTGACAAATGTGCGTGATAAAAATGAGGAATATATCATATCGCGGTATTCATGCTAGGGGGGCAGAGGCATTCTTCTTACTAATAATAGTGATAAATTAATGAGAGTAAAAGTTACAAATAAGTTTACTTATTCAATGTTCAATCTCCTTACAGTGTCATCAAAAGAGACGAAGATTCCGATCCGGAGGAGGAAATCCGCCAAAGACACATGCCGAGCCTGCCTGACCTTTCTTTCGCGGTGCAAGATCCTACTAAGCACTACGAAGAGGATGAAGACTCGCAGCCTTCGCCCAAGAAGGCGCGCTTGAACTCCACAGACGAGGAACCTTGCCAACAGTGCAATAGAACAGACCCTGATGAACTCTTCCTACTCAGTTGCGCGCCAATCTTGAAAAGGTTGAATGCGAAACAAAACGCTGGTGCTAGACTAAAGATCCAGCAGGTTTTGTACGAAGCGGAGTTTGGGAATCAAATGGAGTTACCCTACGTGACACCTGCAAGCGAGTGCGGCTTCGACAACATCGACGCGCACGTTGAATGATTGTTCTTTATCACATCATTGCCCGGAACGACCGGTCAAGAATGATGCAATAGACCACTCACTTGTTTAGAACAGGTAGTTAAGAATAGTTTACACACGATACTCTTCCAATTATAGGTAGGGTCAAGATGGGGACAGTGTAACAAGGGGCAAAGTGGTCTATGGTCTGTCTCGAAGTGATTATATGCTTCCATAATAATATGCCGCCATCTTTTTTAAGCAGTTGTCATCAGACGTCAAATGGGTGGGTATAATAGAGACATTCCTCTTTTTACCCTTGTTACATGTGGCACCCAAAAAAGCTCCGGTTAGTAAATAGAGAAGAAAAAAAAATACCATGACTGGCCAACAATTAACTTAAAGTTTCTCAAATAAGTTTCCCTTAGTGTCAAATACGGGAAATCCACGGACACTATTAATAACCTGCAGCAACATCCGTGTGCTGTTGAGTTTCGCGGAGGAGCCAGGGTAGTACAAAATTTGACAATGATCTGTCTTGCTCGATGCTTTGGATAGGTTACAGCGGCGCGCGCTCCGCATCATAGGCGATGAGGAGGTGACTAAACACCTAGAGCCTCTTCAATTACGTTCTGAGGAGTTATTCTCTGTTATTCCACCTTCCCCTTTCTTTCAGAGGACCACGCGCGCTTACCTACGTTGTCACAGTCTAACTGTGGCCACAATTCCAACATGTACAAAGAAATTTGGTAACTCATTTCTTTATCGTACTAAATGGAATACTGTGCCCGCTCACGTGTTCCCTCCCTCTTATAACCTGGGATCCTTTAAAAGAGGCGTGAAGAAGCAAATGGAGGCCGGCAGGATGAGGATGGCTGGTGTGGCAGGTAGAACTGCTGTATTAGCTATCTTCGCGTCTGGACTTCACCTTCACTCAACATCAGGTGGGGTGGAGTCATTTGTCGGACCTATCTATAAAAAATAAAAATAAAAGAAGTTGGTGATTAGGCCCTGAGTTTGGGCCTTTGAATGTAATTCCAAACGCAAAATAACTAGTCAAGGTTGCGAAAATCAGACAAAGACAAAATTGTCGAAAGAAAGCCAAAATCAAAGTTGCGAAAACGTTAATCATTGTACGATGATCCTCCAAAGCAACAGGGGTAGTTGTAGTAAGGCTTTTTCTCAGCAGGAAATACTGAGCTAATCGAGTTCTGTTTTGTTTTGAGATTATACGAGTAGCTATAAATCTAAGTTTCGTTACCATTTATCTGCCCCACACCAAATTGGAATCTGGTTATTTGGCATTGCACCAAGAGACGCGATCAGTTTTTTAAGCTCAACGAAATTGTGTAGGATCAACGGCAACAAAGATTTTTTTATTATTTTACACATCAAATGTTTTTGTCGAACTGAATTTATGAGTCAGATATATCCAATAACTATAATAACCAGATTCAACGAAGGAACGTCCAATAGGGTATTTGACAGGTTTTAGAAAACGATCTCACGTTATTGACTTATGTTTATGGAGTCCGTAAAAAGTGGATATTCATCATTCTGTTGTGTATTTCAGTAAAAATAACCAAATCAAAAACTCCATTTTCAAGTTGCCGTGAAAACGTTTCTGTGGACAATATGGCGTTTTACTAGTGTGTGACGTCACACGACTGTTATGAAAACGTCAAACAATATAGGTACAATGTAATGTCACTTTAACCGGAAGTTTACTTGCGCGTGACGTCATTTTAGGCTCCGCCAATCCCAAGCGTTTTGGGTCACGTGACAATAGATAAGAAAACTATTATCTTTTTCGTTAGTTTTTAGTAAAATCATGAATATTTTTTTTGCGAAAATTGTAAAAACCCCTGCCAATATTCATTCTAAACACAGATGCTAACAATTGGCACTTTATTTTTAACACTGTCAAATACCCTATTTGGTGTGGAGCAGAGAAATGGCAACGAAACTTAGATTTATAGCTATAATCCCAAAACAACCTACACAAACTATCCACCGAAACGTAATTATAAAAAAAACGGCATAGATACCCATTTAAAGAGTTTCCTTTTAAAAGGTCGTTATCAGTTTTTAAATATTAATATGGGAGTGGCCAGTTACAGAATTTTAGTGCTCACTATTTGTATGATAGTAATGTTTAAAAAAACCTTATAGTAATAGAAGTTATTTACGGGATTGTTACCATGTACCTTGTTTTTAGCGAGTTTCCGATATTTTGGCACTGTTGCAAGCGCTATGATCACGGAGTAACCGTAGATAACTTTTATTACTATAATCTTAGTGACCATGAAAGTTTAAAACAATATATTTAAAAAAAACCTATCAAGAAAATACTACTAACACCAAAATATAGTAAAATAAGTACGCCATATTATGATAAGGTTTTTGATATTTATTTTTAAATACTTTTTTTTAATTTGATTTTTAAGCATTTTCTTTTAGATGTTCTATTAAGTACTCGCCTAGTTTTTCGTGAATAATAAGATATAGGCTCAAAGTCAAAGAAGTTTGTTGTGTGGTGTGAAATTTTCAAAATCTAATTATTTATATAGTTTTACAATAATTTATATTGTTGCTGTATTTATGTACACGATATTGTAATTTAATAATTTAAATACGTAAGTAATTACAATATTTTAAAGGTTGGACTAAAGCCACCATTGGCATATTTAGATTCGAACTATTTTCCAAAGGAGTCAATTTCCTAAGTTACAATATCTGATCAAACTTAGAATTTCGAATTGACATCCTGTGATCCAGTTCTGGGTTGAGAACAATAGACCACAGACAGATTTCATACTATCACAGTTGATCAAATCATAAGGTACCTAAGCGATGCAACATGACTTGCAGTTTCTTCTGTCTGTTTCAAAAAAACCAAAATCCAATATCGTTTATTCAGTCTAGGCTGTGACAAGCACTTGTGAATGTCGAAAAGCTACGCCATCGGTTCGCAAATCTACGGCGGGAAGTCATTTTTCACTCATAAAGTGACTTTCCATTACAAATGTAATTGATTTAAAAATTATGACTATAAAATAAATAAAAATAAAAAACTGACTTTAAGCTTGGCAGTCAGCGAGGCTCCTTATTGTCTAACCTTCATTGACGTATAAAGAGGAAGGGAAGTGGTCTGTGCCCACCAAGTGCCCACTCCTGAATGGTCGTTGTTGTATTTCAGTCTAATTTCAGCTCCAATCAATATATCCTTCAGTTTAGCATTTGAAAGATGTTCCTAAAAATTGTGATTTTTTTAATTTAATAATGAAACTGTTAGTTTCTCATAGGTTTACTGTTATATTCTCATACAATTCATTACAAAATATTGTTAGGATACATTGTGTCATATAAATGTACCTATGTTTGAGTGTCAAACATACATTCATATGACAATAACGAGTATCTCAATTGACCGACAATGTAAAGACAATGCATTCACCCGGATATCGGGACGTTGGAACGAATTCAGCCAGTATCCTGGAACAAAATACATTTTTCTGTTGTAAATATCTTTTGATTGAAAATAATATAAAAATTTCAATCGAATTTAAAGTACGGTAAAATTTCTTTGAAATGCCAACAATACCCACAAAGATTTTATATGATAGAAGCTAGACAATTTCCCGCTGGGCTTACATGTTCAGTTAAAATAAGTAGGTATCTTTGTATATATATACCTCAGACAAGTTTTTTTTCGAGTGTGTATGCTGTTGGTCGCAAATGACCTTTACAGCGTCACCGGGTTTGGGGACGGCGAGATCCTAAAGGGACCTCAAGCCGAGAATTGGCGCGTGCCTCTAGAGGTATTCCAGGCGGATGGCATCTCCCCACTTGGGGAGTCTCCTCTCCGTCTGGAGCCTCTAGACCACTCGAACCTGAGGGTTCAGAACAAGAACTATACTTTCGGGTACTACTTAGGTACTACATAGATGAATGATTGATGTCTTTCTGTATTCTGTGAATGGCCCAATCATTCATGTATGGGGTACTATTTGTCATAATTCTAGTCATATACTTTAGTTTGTTACCTATAGAGTACAAAATGTTCAAAATTATGATGATAATTATGTAATGAGTGTGAATTATTAGTGATTTTCTTATTTTATTTGGAAATATCAATAAATATTTGGGTCGTGTATTTTTCTTTGTAAGCAGTCAATATAAGTGTTTTAAATTATTATCTATTCTTAACATATGTAGGTATAAGTACACATCTATCAATAAAATTGTTTTTAATATATTATGTAAAAGTTATTTTCTCTGGTAATAAAATTTTGTTTCGGTTTTTATACACCCTTTTACGGTAAAATGATAATATCATAATTAAATAAATAATTTATTATTTCTTTAGAACTACCTAATCTTAATCCTAACAATGAAATATATGTCGACAGTGAAAATCAAACTCGCTTAAACGCCACTTTAGTAACTTTACAGAAACAAGGATCAGTTTTTTTTCACAAAAAAAACATAACTCATTGTAAATAGAAGTAAGTAGAGCCACGAAAAAAAATATTCTAAAAATAATATTTTCTAAATATCCTCCTATTAAAAAGTTACATAGCGGCCATAGTGCCTTTACGAATTAGATGTCGCTTGAGCGAAAATCACTCACTCGGCCCGTAATACAATTTTTGTAAGCTCCAATGGTTCAAAAAACACAGCTGTCGCTTCAGCGTTGCGAACGACAAAAATCTTAAAAAAATGCTTTAAGCGCAACTAAGAGCCAAAAAAGTACCTACTCAAATCATCACGAAACATAAACAGATCGAAGCAGAAAAAAAATCTGATTAAATTAGAATTTATAACTCATTTTCGACCAAAGTGGCGTATATGCGAAATTGCCTTTTCACTGTCGATATGATCACGGATGGAAAAAAGATACTCAATTAGGACCCCTGTGTCTATGAAGGGCAAATGGCAACTATAGAAACTAAGTTTCCAGTCAGTTGTTGCGATGTTTCGCTAGACGAGCTAGGTACCCTTTGAGATCTATTGTAAATTCGAAAAGGATATATTGCATACAGAAAGTTATCCTTAATTTTTACCCAGTCAAATTCATTGCATATTTAGCGGTATCAGGTCCAGATTAAGAGGTGTTCCAGGCGGATGGCATCTCCCCACGGGGGGAGTCTCCTCTCCGTCTGGAGCCTCTAGACCAATCGAACCTGAGGGTTCA